CAGTTCTTCAGTGTGTCACATCTTTTATCTAGCTTTTAAGATTCTCTATCACTCATTTTTGCCACTTTAATGTGCCTTGATGTGCATTTCTTTGGGTTTACCCTACTTAGTAATTTTTGAGGAGTTTCCTGTATGTCTGCTTCCTTCCCCAAGTTAGGAACAGTTTTCGGTCAGTCTTTTTTCAGTAAGATTTCTACTTCTCCCTTCCAAATCTCATACACCTGCTATCTTCTTTTGAAATAATTCTTCTTTCTTTGCTTGCCTATCTGGAGGCTTTCCAATATCCTATCTTCCAATTCATGGATTCTATCTGTTGCTTCATCTAGTCTGCTGTTCAGCCCTCTTTACTGTATGTTTTAGTTTAGGCAATATAGACCTCAGTTCTGTGTTTCTGTTTGGAACTTTCTCACATTTTCTTTGTTTTTTGTTTTGTACATCCTTTCAGTTGGGAATTGAATTTCAGTGAGCAACTTTAGGACTGTTGCCTTGAAATAGTAACCAGGTAGTTCAGTTCTGTTGCATGACTATATCTACCCTTTGACACCCAAGGTTTTGTCTGTCATCTGGGGTATATCCCCCTACCTTTTCCTTTTATTGAACTCTAGTTTCCTTCTCTGTATTAGGATAAACAGCATTTGTTCCCAGTCTTGGTGTCTTGTTTGAACTGGAATTTGTGAGGTGTCAATGGCATGTTGCTTTGGATACTGGGCAGTTAGCTGAAACCTTGGCACTGTCCAGAACAGCTGATGCACAAGAGAGGGGGCCAGTTGGTAGCCCAGAACTTGCTGACATGGTCACAGCCAGGGTGGTGGGAACTGCAGGAGCTTGCTGCTAGAGTGCGCCAGGTAAAAGTCCCACTGGTAGCTGCAGTAGAGCAAACTGGGGGAGGGAGCTGCAGTCACAATATCTCATTCTCATTGTTCACATTTTCACTCTCCTCCATGTTGGATTTTTGTGTTTAAAGGAAAAATGACCTGAAATTCCCAGTCTAGAATAGCAAGCAGGTATCCCTCAGGAATGACTTGTGTGTCCTGTTTGGGGAGACCGACTGGACCTGGGTCAACTTTGGGTCCTGGAAGAGGTGGAACACTTGTGTTCCCATGATTGGCCCCAAACAGGGAAGAGCAGTGCTGTGAGAACAGGAAGAACTATGCTAAAAGAGCCACAGAGCTGTCTGGGTGAAGGGGGGTGTGGGGTATGGAAGACACAAACGTTAAGGAACTCAAGGGTGAGCAGTTCAAGCAGAAGTCAGAGTTGGGTTGGGTGAGGTCCCAAGAATCAGGCTTTTCTGGTCATGGAGCCTTATTGTAGATGTTTGCTCCTTAGCACACCAACCCCATCAAACATGACTAACCTGGGCCTGACAGGTCTCTGGAAACCCATGAGTTGAGGCCAGGAAGGGGCCAAATTTTATGGTATAAACACAATGGCAGGGACTTAAAACACCCCTACAAATGGGAGGTGGGGAGAGGAACTCCCCAAAGACAAGAGCTGCCCAGGCAACTTCAAACAGCCCTCTCTTCACTTCTGTCCTCCACTTCCTTCTGTGAGACATTCCCCAGGCAGTCACGGAAGCAGACAGGCTGACCCAGGCTGATGCCCTTCACCCACTGCAGCTGTAACCAGAGCCAGACACCACAGGCAATGGCCATGTGTAGGATCAAAGGGCTTCTCTTTTGGTGTGAGGGTCTAACATTGGAGTGCAGGGCCCTGCCACCCTGTTGGATTCCATGGTTAGGATTAGAAGCACTTCCACACCATTCGGGGCAGAATCCAATCGCAAAACACATAGGGGGATGGAAGTGTCAAGTATCTGACCCACTCTTCCAGCTGGAGTAGGGGCAGAAGCACCCCAAATGGGGAGCCGCACTCCCCCCGGGGCAGCAAATAGCGACAGCCGGCAAACTGGTCATGGTGGAAGTACAAGCATGTTTTAAAATGACCTCCCAGTTTATAGGAAGATAATCTGCCAAACTGGTGGGATGCTGGTCTTAGGTTAAGATAAGGGACACGGCTTTCTTCGGTTTGACCTTGGGGAAGATTTAGGGAGGGACACTTCAAAGTTGCTCTTTCTGTGATTATTTGAATCTCACTTTTAAATGAGATTAAAACATCAAAGGTCTATCCAACTGAAACACATTGGTGGGTCAAACACTACTGGAATGTTTTGTGGCAAAAAAAAAAAATGCAGGATCTTTAAAAGATCCTTTAGAACTGTTGAAATATGCATAAACTATATAACTGGAGCGAGACTTGCACACAAATATAAAGGTCCAATGAAGCGTTAAATTTGGGGGTATAAACTTACTGTTAAGAACTGGGGTGCAGACCAGAGGTATAGCGGTGAAAAGACTCCCCAGAGAAAGAGTGGGGGGCAGAACAGGCGAATCTACTGAAATCTACTGCTGAGGGGAGCAGTGGGGAAAGGGGGTTTGCTGTGCCCTGTGGGTCACTCCCTGGCCGGGGATGGACTCAGGGCTTTATAAACATTAAAACAAACAAAAAAACAAAAAAACCTATTCAACAACCCTGAAAACTTAAAATGGACAAGAGACTTGAGGCACATCATACTTTTTGACTTTATTTTTATTTCAACACTAATACAGATAGGTAGAACGACTATAGCCACAGTGACAGACCAAAAACCTGTGCACAGAAACGAGATGAGGAAAACGTATTGAGACAGCAGCACGGGGCATGGGTGGCAAAACATGGGCGGTTCTCCCTTCTACGCCTGAGACTTCAACTCTCTCTAACGAACACGCATTTTGCTCACGGCCACGTGTAGGCAGGGAAGGCAGGTCCCCGAGATGTGGTGACGAGACCCTCTGCCACGACCCCTGCCGCCCAGATAGGGCCACAGCCGTGTCCCTCCCATCTCTGCCTCTGCGCACTCGTCACCGACACCGACACCAACAGCCGCAGATCTGCCCCGGGTTGAGGTCTCGGCAGCTGCGGGAAGGCGCCTGACTTCCTGGTCTGCTCTGCTCAGTCTCCAGCTTGCTACGAGTATGTGTTAGCTTGTGACGCAAAGATATATATGTGAGCGGAATACCAAACACCAAGATCAAAGGCCTGGGACAATATTTAACCCACTCGGTCCCACTCCACCACAACCCAGTCCCTTCCTGTGCCACCCCACTTCAGGCTTTCCGCGCACCTCAGGCCGCCACTGCATGAGGCAGGTGGAGTGGCCAAGTCAGATGCTAATGCCGTCTTGGGGGACTGGAACACGGCTGGCTGCCTGCTGTCCTGACTGACAGCCACCTCGGTCACGGGCTACCTTGTCATAGAAACAAACACAACAAGCTTGGCTTCCAGAACACTGGCAACAAGGTGAAACCCTTCACCCGCAACTGCACGAGGCTGCATGACAGTGACTCTGAGTCTCGCGGATGCCAGAGCTGCTGCCCTGTGCAGAGGCATGTCCACTGCTCACTGCAGAGGGCGCAGTCTTTGGATGGTAGGAGCATGGGACTTTTCCCTCCAGTTTTCTGTGTTCTCCAAGTATCTGAGGAAGAGTAGGGTATGCCCACCGTGGGAATGTGATTATAAAGACTTAGTAACACGACCATAAAGAACATTTGAGGAATTTAGGAAAATAATGCTCGACTACAAGCCTACAACAGCAACACAACAGCTGACTAGAAGCACACGTCTGTTTAAAGTTATAACTGCAGTATGAATATAATTCTCGTCCTCCTTCTATCCCTCCCTAAACCAAGGACTCTGTGACCCGCACACAGCTACAGGGGGTCACAGCATCCTCCCTCACTGCTGGGTGTGCAACGTCCACGCTTTCTACCAGAACGAGGTCGGAAAGGACAGCCTGACCTTCAGCAAGCTGCTTCCTGAAAGGCCCCACTGAGGATCAGAGCCCAAAGCTGCAGACCCACCCCGACAGTGGCCACACCGCTGGCTCACCCTCCGCGAGGCCCATGCCCTCCTCAGCTTCCGGGACATCTGCCCGTTCCAACCTCCAGCCTCTCCACACAGCCGGCCTCCAGCCACACCAGGCCGGCACACCAGGCACCCAGCTCCACTCACTCAACTCCCTGGGGGCGTCCTCCCCCACCCAGCACATCGGGGGCTCCCTCTTTGGCTTACTCGCATCTGCTTCCCGTGCTCAGCCCTGCTGGGCCTCCCTGCCACTGCCCAAGCTCGGAGCCCCAAGTGGGTGGCTCTCGAGGAGACAGACACAGCGCAGGCGGGCAGTTTGATCCTGCGGCTCGTTATCTGCTCTCACCTCTCACAACCTACAGTCTGCTTTTTTAGTGTTTTTTTTTAATTTTTAAATTTTTTTTCCAGCCAACTCAGAAAACAAGAAATTTCTTGTCACTATGCAAGGGGAGGGGCAGCAAAGGGCGCAAGGGCTGGGGGCAGGGCACGAGGCCTCAGGCCGTGACGTCCGGCCACAGGAGCGGGCGCCAAGGTGCCACGGCCCGTGGCCACAGCACACGCACAGGCGGGACAGACGCACGAGACAAGTTAAGGCTGCTGGAACCTGAGTCCATGGTAAGCTTGGGTTGACTGTAAAGTTTTTGTGTTTTTTTTTGTAAATAGTTTTTGTAAACACAAGTCACGCACGGGGCCAGCGGGTCAGACGGGTGGAAGCGAGGGAACGCAGACAGAGAGCTCTGGGGACACGGCGGGCGCGGGCGCGCGGGCGGGCGGCACCGAGGGTGCGACGCCACTTAAGGCAGCTGGCGCACCCCGCCGCCGGCCCGCGCGCCCGCGCCATCACAGCAGGCGTCCGCGAGGGCGGACAGCGCCGAAGGCAAAGGCCTGAAGCGGACAGAAAAGCTTCAGCTCAGGAGTCGCCACTGAGCACAGTCAGGGCGGTGAGAGAAGTGACAGGCAGCCCCGGGCAGGGCTCACCGCGAGCCACCGCGCAGCCGCTAGGTGGGACACAGAGAGCCGGTGGCGCCGGGCAACAGCTGCACAGTACGGGGCTGGGGGGCGACAGTGGGGAGGTACAAGGGCTGGGGGCGGGGGGCGGGGCGGGGACAGGTTAACGATGGCGGGGGTGGGGGGAACGGTAATAATGGCTGGGGTGCGGCGCAGCGGATGCGAGAACAGGCCAACGCGCCCCACTTTGGGCAGGGAGCGCTGTCGGGACACCGGCCACAGAGCGCTTCTGTGGAAACTGAGGGTGAAACTGGCGCTTTGCTGTTCTCTTCCTCCTCCACAGAGGAAAGCAGAAGCGGCTGGCTGCGCTGTAAACCGTGGTCCGTGGTCCGTGGCCACCGGCCACCTTGGGCACAGCCAGGCCCACAGGGCTGCGGGACTGCTATGTACAGCGGGCAGGTGTGTCGCGGGGCCCCTCAGGACTCCTGGGGACGCTCGGGCTGGGGGCTAAGGCTGAAAACAGGCGCTCGGCCTGCGGCTTCCCCAGCGCCGCCTGGCGCCGAGTAGACTGCACAGGCCAAGGAAGTTGCTGCGGGCGGGGCCCCGCCTGCCTGTGTGTCCTCAGCCCGTGTGGGCGTCCTGGTGTCTGGCGAGGGACAGGCGGTCCCTGAAGAGCTGCCCGCAGATGGGGCACCGGAAGCGCCCGCTACCCGCCCCGCCACCGTCCCCAGAGCTGGTGCTGGCGCGGCAGCGTGAACCCTCCCCGGAGACCCTCGCAGGCTCAAACATAATCACCCCCGCATGGGCTGGCAGACGCTGCCCGCAGGCAGGGAGAGGCAGGAGGGTCCCCTCCGGCTGCCCGCAGCTGGGCCCGTCCCCCTGAGCCTCCTGGGCACCCCCCGCTTCCTCCGGGTCATGGACCCCAGCCCCATCTGGCTCGTCAGCATCCCCCTCGGGCTCCTCAGCCCTCTCCTCCGGGTCCAGGATCCCGGCCCCATCTGGCTCGTCAGCGTCCCCGTCGTGGGGCTGCTCGGCCTCCCCGCCAGGCCCTCTGGCCTCCCCAGCGGGCTCCGCGGCCTCCACCTCCGGCTCCGCGGCCTCAACACTGGACCCCTGGATGCACAGAACTTCACGAGGAACGAGGACGTTGGCTTCAGCTTCCTGGGACACCGCCGCGTCTTCCTCCTCCAAATGCAGCTTCTGGTGCCTGAGGAGCACAGTGTTGTGCACAAAGGTCTCCCCACAGTCCTTGCACTCGAAGAACGGCATGTCTCGCTTGGGGGGCTCTGTGAGGAAGGAGGCATGAACAAAGGAGGCCCCGTAGGCGTAGGGCTGCCCGCGCCTGTGGACGTGCAGGTGCTCCCGCAGCGCCGCCCGGCTGAGGAAGGCTGCCCCGCATGTCTCACACTCGTGCTGCTTCTCTTCAGCCTGACTTCTCTGTAGCTCGGCGAGCGCCAGGCTGGGGCCGGTGGTGTCCTCGCTGGGCTGGCCCAGGGCCGGCAAGCGTGCTCTGGGGTGCGCCTGCATGTGCTCAACAAGAAGCGAGGCGTGGATGAAGTCCTGGCCACACACCTGGCAGTGGAGGGGCGTCAGTGCGCGGGGGACCTTCTGGGGGGCCCGGGGCCGCCGCGGGCCAAGGATCAGGGGCCGCAGGAAAGGCTCATCCAGCCTCCGGAAGCCATAGAACTGGTCTTGTTCGTGGATCTTCTGATGCTCAAAAAGAAAAGCGCTGTGGACAAAGGACTCCCCGCAGGCCGGGCACTCATAGAGCTGCTCCCCCGTGAGGTCCTGCTGGTACTCGCTGACACGGGGCAGACGGGCCACAGTGCGGGGCGGCGTGCGGGCATCCGCTGGGTACACCCTGCTGTGGACCTTCTGGTGGTCCTTCAGGTCGGCGCGGTCGGCGAAGCCCAGGCCGCAGTCCCCGCAGCCGTAGATGGCGTCGTCGTCCTCATCCCCGTCCCCGTCCCCATGGGGCTCACCCAGCTCCACCTGTGGTGGCTGCTCCTCCTGCAGAGCGCCTTCACGGCCTGTGCCCTGGACAGAGGCCCCAAGCAGCCCCCCGCCATGGACCTGCTCTCCACCATAGACTTTCTGGTGCGCACCCGGGCCCTCGAGGGTGGTGAAGTGCACCCCACGCTCCCGGCACTCGCGGGGGGCCAGCTGCTCGGTGGGCCCGGCCCGGGCAGGCTCTGTGGGGCTGTTGGCCTGCACAGCAGGGCCGGGGTCCCTGGCCTGCGCCAACCGCGGGACGTGGCTCATCTGGGGGCTGGCAGAGGCCAGGCTGCAAATGACAGATGGGCCACGGGTCTCACCCACAGTGCACTTCCGGCCGTGGACCTTCTGGTGTTCGGCAAGCTCGGCGCTGAGTGCGAAGGACACCCCGCACACGCGGCACTCGTGGGCACGCTCCCTGGGGCGAGGGGAGGGGCTCCCGCAGGCCCCGGGGCCGCCCTGCTCAATGTTCTTCCTTTTGGCGCGGGCCTTCTGGTGCCCGAGGCCCTGGGGGCTGGGGGCAGGCGATGCACTGTCCTTCTTCAGCTCACCAGTCTCTCCCACAAGGCCCTCTCGGGGCTGTAGAGGGGACAGGCTGCGCGCGACACCCCCTGTGCGGCCGTCGCCGGCTGAGCCCCTGGGAGGACTCTCTGCACAGCGGCTGTCCTGGCGCTTGCCACTCACCTCTGAGGGGCAGGCACAGGCCCCGGCCTTCTCTCCACCCTGTGCGATGGGCCCGGCCCCGCCGTGAGTCCTGGGGCCCTGCAGAGCCGCCGGGCGGAGGATGCCAGGCCTTTCTCGCTCCCCGCCAGGGCGGCCGTCCCGGGGCGCCGCGGCTGCGCTCTGGCTGCTGGGCCCGGCGGTCACATTCAGCCTCCCGGGTGCCCCTGCGCCTCGGCTCCGCTGAGCCCCGGCAGACGGGCTGTGAATCACGGACAACGCTCGGGGCTCCTCCTCGCACTTGGCCTCTTTGGCGGGAGCCACCCGAGCCCCTGCGGGGCTGGCGCCCGTGGCGAACGCCCTCTGGTCCTCCCCGTCCTCCGGGGGCCGTGTGATGGTGTGGCTCCTCTGAGAGTCGGCGCAGGGACCGCCCTGGCCGCCAGCCTGCTCGCGCCCCCGGCCCCGGCCTCCGTAGAGGTTCTTCCAGGCAGGCGTTTTCAGGGGCTCACCCAGGTCTGGGCGTGGCCGGAAAGCATCACCCCCGTCCTGGAGGCCATAGAGCCCCTCTCTGGAGCGAGCTTTCTGGCGCCGCAGCTGGCCAGG